GGTCATTGATTTGGGATCTTTCAGTCTTTTTAATATATGCACTCATGGCTATAAACTTTCCTCTCAGGACTGCCTTAGCTGTGTCCCATAGGTTCCAGTAGGTTGTGTTTTCATTTTCATTGACTTCAGGAACTTTTAAATTTCCTCTTTTATTTCATCGATGATCCATTCTTCATTAAGTAATGAGTTATTTAGTTTCCAGCTGTTTGCATGTTTTTTGTCTTTACTTTTGTTGTTGAGTTCTACTTTTACTGCATTGTGATCAGATAGTATGCATGGTATAATTTCTCTTTTCTTATATTTGCTGAGGCTTGCTTTGTGCCCTAGGATATGATCTATTTTGGAGAAGGTTCCATGGGCTGCTGAGAAGAATGTATATTGTGTAGAGGTTGGATGAAATGTTCTGTAGACATCTACTAGGTCCATTTGATCTATTGCATATTTTAGATCTTGGATTTCTTTATTGATTTTTTGTTTGGATGACCTATCTATTGATGATAATGGGGTGTTAAAGTCTCCCACAACCACTGTGTTGGCATTTATATATGCTTTTAGGTCTTTCAGGGTATGTTTGATGAAATTGGGTGCATTGACATTGGGTGCATACAGATTGATGATTATTATTTCCTTTTGGTCTATTTCCCCTTTTATTAGTATGGAATGTCCTTCTTTATCTCATTTGATCAATGTAGGTTTGAAGTCTACTTTGTCAGAGATAAGTATTGCTACTCCTGCCTGTTTTCGGGGGCCATTGGCTTGGTAAATCTTCTTCCAGCCTTTCATCCTAAGCCTATGCTTATTTCTGTCGGTGAGATGGGTCTCCTGTAAGCAACAAATTGTTGGATCTTCCTTTTTAATCCATTTCATCAAAGTGCCTTTTGATGGGTGAATTAAGTCCATTAACATTAAGCGTTAGTACTGATAGGTATGTGGTGATTCCTGTCATTTAGTTGTCTTAGTTGTTTGAAGGTTTGATTGTGTGTACCTAAGTTGAGGTTACTCTCTACTGTCTTGCTTTTTCTTTTCCTGTGGTTTGGTGCTGCCTGTCTTTTCATGGTTAAGTTGGGTTTCACTTTCTGTGTGCAGAATCCCTTGCAGAATCTTTTGTAGTGGTGGCTTTGTGGTCACATATTGTTTTAGTTTCTGCTTATCATGGAAGACTTTTATTGCTCCATCTATTTTGAATGATAGTTTTGCTGGGTAGAGTATCCTGGGGTTGAAGTTATTTTCATTCAGTGCCCGGAAGATCTCACCCCACGCTCTTCTTGCTTTTAATGTTTCTGTTGAGAAGTCTGCTGTGATTTTGATGGGTTTACCTTTGTATGTTACTTGTTTTTTCTCTCTTACAGCCTTCAATATTCTTTCCTTAGTTTCTGAACTTGTTGTTTTAATGATGATATGTCGTGGAGTAGTTCTATTTTGATCTGGTCTGTTTGGTGTCCTGGAGGCCTCTTGCATCTGTATGGGAATATCTTTCTCTAGATTTGGGAAATTTTCCGTTATTATTTTGTTGAATATATTATGCATTCCCTTCACTTGCACCTCTTCTCCTTCTTCGATGCCCATGATTCTCAAGTTTGGTCTTTTGATGGAGTCGGTGAGTTCTTGCATTTTCTTTTCACAGGTCTTGAGTTGTTTAATTAATAGTTCTTCAGTTTTTCCTTTAATTACCATTTCATCTTCAAGTTCTGAGATTCTGTCTTCTGTTTGTTCTATTCTGCTGGATTGGCCTTCCGTTTTGTTTTGCAGTTCTGTTTCGTTCTTTTTTCTGAGGTTTTCCATATCCTGGCTGTTTTCCTCTTTAATGTTGTCTATTTTTGTCCTGAGTTCATTTATCTTATTCATGTGTTCTCTTTCACTTTGGTGTTTATACAGTGCTTCTATGGTTTCCTTTATTTCTTCTTTTGCTTTTTCAAATTCTCTATTTTTTTGTCTTGGAATTTCTTGAGTGTCTCCTGTACATTTTGGTTGACCCTATCCAGTATCATCTCTATAAAATTCTCATTGAGTACTTGTAGTATGTCTTCTTTTAAATTATTCTTGTGGGCTTCATTGGGTCCTTTGGCATAGTTTATCTTCATTTTGTTGGAGTCTGGATCTGAGTTCTGTTTTCTTCATTCCCCTCTGGTTCCTGTACTAATTTTTTGCTGTGGGGAAACTGGTTTCCCTGTTTTTTCTGTCTTCCGTCATTGTCTTTGGTGTTGTTACTGTCCCTGTACTGTGTGCAATTAAGTATTTTCTAGCTTGTAATAATAACAATGGTAATATTTAGAATGGAAGGGTGAGCTGAGATGGAAAGCAAGAAGTTAAAGAAAAGGGGAAAACAAATACACAGACAAGAGGGAGAAAGCAGAACAAGGTTTCAGACAAGAAAGTTTCAAAGGTATAAACAGGGAGCATTAGTGTACTAATTGACAGTAAGCTGAACAGACATTAGAGGGACAGAGATAGGATTGAAAATCAAAAATAAAAAAATAAGATAGAAATAAAAATAAAAAATAAGTAAATGAAAGAAATATCTATATATTAAAAATGAATTAAAATAAATGGAAAATAGAAAATTAAAAAAAAAACCTCCAAGTTCAAATGCAATGAAGTTTCTGTCTTAATAATTTGGGTGTCCGTCTCAGTCTCCAATCCTGGAGATGGTGCCTCAGATGTTGTTCTGTAGTTGTCTCATCAAAGGGGATGCATAAAGTAGAACAAAACTACACACACACACACAAAAAAAAAAAAAAAACCCACCTAGTGTCCCAAGTTCAAATGCAATACAGTTTCAGTAAGTTTTTCAGCTTGCAGGTGTAATTCGGTTGTTCTCTCATCAAAGGTAGGGAGAAAAAGAAAAAAAAGAGTCTGGAGACAGTTCTGAGAATGGTATCTGCAGCTGTGGCTTGCCTGCCTGCTGCTGTCAGCCTGCTGTTGCTGGAGGGGTTGTTTATGCAGCTCTCTGGGGTGAGCTTAGTACTCACCTGGTCCCACAGGCTTTGTTTGTTCAGAGTTCTCCTGTGTGGGAGCCTCTGCTACAAGCTTTCCCCTTTCCAAGCACTGGGAAAGGTGACACTGCATCCGCATTGTCAGGCCTGCGTGTTTATTTACAGTTCATGTGGGAGGTGGGTCTTCCCCCCTCTCCTGTGAAGTTTTCCTCCCACTGCCACTTTCACAAGCTTTCCTGCTTCTGCTTACTGGGCATTGCTGCTGCTCCTGCCAGCCGCCATGTTTGTTTAGAGTTCACGTGGGAAGTGGGTCTTCCCTCCTCTCCTGTGGAGTTTTCCTCCCTCCGCCACTCTCACAAGCTTCCCCGCTCCTGGTTGCTGGTCACGGGCCCCGCCCCTGCTCCCGCCAGAGCCTCTCGGCCTGCCTGGCTTGTTTATTTACAGTCCCGGGAAGGGTTCCCTTCCCCCAATCTTCAGCTCTCAGTGCCCCACCCTCTTTCCAGCGTGTCTTTATTGCTCTTATTGCTTATTACTCTGTTTCTCTTTTTCCCCAGGTGGAGGTCAGTCTGCTCAGGGGGCTGTGCTGCTCTGGCCCAGGCTTGTCTGTGGGAGTACTGCGGTACCACAAAGCTCACCTGGTCCGCGTCTTCCCAAGCCATCTGGGCGCCCTCACTTTTGTGTTTTTAAACTTTTTCATATACTGTTGCTGGTATTTTTGTTTAAAAAATAGATTAATTCCTAGAATAACAAACTTAATTAGAAATAAGGTCCTACAAAATAAAATCCCTACTCTTTAGAATGATTGGATTCAACCTGATAAAAAATACTTTGTCAAATTTCTATAAAAGTTTTTAAACTTTTCTAGTTATAGAAAAGTAGCAAGCATTTCCTGGAAAGGTACCAGCCCAGGGTTCAAACTGTGAGATGAATTTCAAGCAAATGCTACACCTCTGTTTTTTATGATATTCTAGGATTTTGCTTCAATGCCTCCTTTGACTGAGAACACAGCAACTTCCAAAATAATGAAAAGAGTATAGCATGGCATTCTTAGATTCTGGAAAGTTGAATGTGTAACCTTTTGTCACATCTCCATATTCATGGCGTCATTGCACCTTGGAACAGACCCTGTAGAACACTACATACATAATCACATAATCTGACTGCTGTGGAAAACATTGCCTGCCTTTTGAATTTTCAATGATACCACTTAAGAAATCTGAAGGTTGATAAGGGCAGCAGTGCTAAGATTGGAATCCTGACTGACTAGAACTTTAGGCTAGGTACATTTTGCTGTGACTTAACCAATGCATAGCATTTCTTCTGTAACAACTGTGCAACTTCATACATGCACAATAATTCCCTTCAACACATCCCATGTTGAGACACTGAATTTGTAGAATTGTCCCCATCTCAAAGCTGTTTCATAGTTTCAGCTTTTTCAGACAAGTGGCAACTACTGTTTGAAAGCCAGGATGCCAGCCTCTGTCACTCCCCTCCTTCCCAAGCTTTATGTGACAACAGTGATGCCAGAATCTGCAACTGAACCACTGTTTTCCCACTGTGACTCTGCACATTCATTACCTTCCTCCACGTTTTTCTTCCTTCTATTTTTCTATATTTCTTCTCAGAATAGTTTAATAAATGTCCTACCCAAAGAAAGCCATGTTGGCAGACACAAGAAAGATATTAAAATAAATAAAAGAAGCAAATGAATGGGCATTGAAAAGACAAGTAGGGAAGCGAAGAAGGGACAGAGGGAGGAATAAATTTCCTTTATTCTCACATGTATTTGACAAAAATCTTTTGAACACACATTATACATACAGGTATATTTATGGTGTATGAGATACAGACATAAAATGGTGTTATATTTTTAACATGGTCTTCAATCTAATTTTAATAATGTCTGAAATTGACAAAGGATACATTTAAGGAATAATGAATGGTAGAACTTTCCTAAGAGTATGTGCAAAGTTAAGAAAATAGCTCTGCCAGGCACTGGCAGAGAATCTCCTTTCCACATTCCTAAAATGGTCATCAGACACAATAATCACCATCTCCCAAAAACTATTTTGCAGTTAGTCTCCTGAGAGCCCCTTTGACATCCTTGTTCCTCAGGCTATAAATGATGGGGTTCAGCATGGGTGTCACTGCTGAGTAGAACACAGAGATCATTTTATCCCTTTCATTCATTATCTTGGAGTTTGGCCTCATGTAGGCAAATATTGCTGAGCCATAGAAGAGAACTACAACAATGACATGGGAACCACAGGTGAAGAAGACCTTGAGCCTGCCCTCTCCAGACTGCATCTGAGTCACAGTGGAGATGATATTCCAGTAGGAGACCAGGACGAGGGAGACAGGAGCTAAGAGGATTACCACACCCATTGCAAAGATGGCCATTTCTGTGTTGTAAGTATCTGCTGAGGCCAGCTTCAGGAGGGCAGGAGGTTCACAGAAAAAATGGTTAATGATATTATTTCCTTGGTAGGGAAGATGCAGTGTGAACATAGTGTCCACCAGAGACACAAATGCTCCACTGGCCCAGGACCACATGGCCAGCTGGACACATAGCGAATGTGTCATGATGGTGGAGTAATGCAGAGGCTTGCAGACAGCCACATACCGATCATAGGACATCACTGCCAGCAGTGCACACTCTGTACCCCCAACCAAAGTAACACAACTATCTGTGTTGCACATCCAGCAAAGGAAATGGTTTTCCTCTTCACCAGGAAGTGGACGAGCACCTGGGGGACTGTGGTAGTAGAAAAACAGAGATCAGCAAAGGACAGGTTTCTGAGGAAGAAGTACATGGGTGTGTGGAGTCTGGAGTCTATGTGAATGAGCACAATGATCAGCAGGTTTCCCAGCACGGTCAGCAGGTAGATGGCCAGAAAAAGAAAGAAGAGCAGGACTTGTGTTGTGCATCCTGTGAGAGACCAGGAAGACAAATTCTGTCACAGAGTTTGGTTCTCCTCCTCCATGAATAGTAATTCTTACTTATAGAATAGTGAAAAGAAAGGAAATACATGAATCACTGATTTTAGAAAATCTAAGAAATTTATTTTATTAATCAGTATCTAAAATGAGGTATAGATTTCTGTCCTTTAATAGCTGTCCTATCTATGCCAAAAAAGCAGTTCTCTTTGCTCAGTAGTTTTGACAACTGGAAGCCATTTCAATTTTCTCCTCCTTGAACTCTTTACTACACCAGTGGGAAAGATTCATTTTGAGTGTTGTATATGACCAACCTTCAGCTGGACCATCTAGTGAGTGGTGCTGGTGAGATGAGACTGCTGCTTACTGGTCATCCTTACTTTTACATAGGTTTGAGAACAAACATATTATGTGACTTTAAAATAGTTAGATTTTGTGCTGTATACTGTCTGATAACATTTATGAAAGCTGAATGTTTCCATTGAATTTACAAAAGTCATCCCAAAGAATCACTCCAAGTAAGGAATGGAAAGTTAAGCTAAAAGAAGTAGCATTCTCTGATAATGTCTCTTGCCCAAATCATTTATTTCCAACACAAACAGGGTTCCTTGGAACATCAGTAAAAATAGTGGCCTCTTTCATAATTACCTGCAGTAGCACTCTTAAATATATCCTTGTCTGTTTTCTACACAATTTTATCTCTCTTTACACAGGGTCTTTTGGGAATCATAGCACTAATTGCTATCTATTGGACTTTTCCTGGTGGTACTCATTATTAACAGTTTCTTTCCATTCATTTTAGCCACTTTAAGAACATATGAGATAGTTATTATTGTTTATTCCTATTACACAGAAGATGAAAAAGAACTCAGAAATATTCTCAAACTGGTCGCTTTGAGCCTTCCTCACTCTATCAAACTAACAAACTAGAGTATGCAATATGTATTATAATTTATGTATAGTAAATATTATATATTCTGATGAATGCATATATGAACTAAATATGAATAATATATGTATAGAATATATTTAAAGCTTCTATAGGAGTAACATAGCATCTTAAATAAGAATATTACATATAGCCATTATAGAAAACAGTATAGAGTTCTAAAGAAATTAAAAACAATATTACAATGTGATCTAGTAATCCCTTTTCTGTGTACATACCCAAAGGAGAATAAGCTTACCCCCTCATAAAGGCACCTGAATTCCCATATAAATTATACCATTCACATCAGCCAACATATAGGAATAACCTCAATGTCAGCCAATGGATGTTTAAAGAAACTGTGGAGTGTGTGCATGTGTGAATACATTTGTATATAAATGTATTTAAACATACAAATATTATATTTAAATATATATGCCTAGAATAATATATATATTTATATTTGGAGTGGTTTGGAAATGGGGAGATGTAGGCAAAAGGATATTAAGTAGCAGATATGTAGGATGAGCTGGTAGAGAGAACAAAAGGACATGAGGATTATAAGTAACAAAACAGTCTTATAATTTTGACTCATTCTAAATGAAAAGAATTTATCTGCCCTTATCACAAAACAAACAAAAAAGGTAACTGTGTAAAATAGTGCATATATTAATTTGCTTCACTATAGTAACATTTGCACTCTTTAAGTATACCAAATGACATGGTATTATTAGTTGGGTGTTCTTTCTGAGACAAGATTTCACTATGAAGCCAGGGCTGAGACTCAAACTTGCCACTCTTTTGTCTCAGCCTCCCAAGTGCTGGTATTATAGACATGTGTCACTATGCCTGGCTCAATAATATTGTATACCTTAAATGTACACAGTAAAAGTTATTTAAGTTTTTTCAATCTGGGAAAATATTTACAAAATATCTAACAAAAATATTGTCATTCCTAACATATGAAGATCTCTTACAGTCAGTAATCAATACACAGTATCCATTAGAAAATCAATGAAAAACTTTAAATTCCTGTTCACCAAAAGAAGTAAAACTGAATGATAAATGTGACACATGAACATGTACTTAAAATAACAAATGAGACATCATATTTTACATTCATTTTGACAAAATTTGAAATGATACAACTTCTAAGTTTGATGATATAGCAAGATGACTATGACAGATTGTTATGGGAAAAGCAAGCCATCAGATTTTGTATGTGGTATGCCACTTTAACCTTTTACATGAAGTTGAGCAGAAGTGTGTTATGTATGAATGTGTGTTTTCCATTTGTATTTATTTCTACAGGCATTTGTCCAACAGTGAGAGACCATTGAGCATGGGTTGCTGTCAGCCATGAGGATGCAGCACTGACTAGTGCTGGGGCTCCATAGCAAGACTGCTAGGTTTGAAATCTGGTTTATCTAGTTAATGTGTAGACAACAGAAAATTACTTAACTTTCTTTGCTCAGCTATAAAATAGTGATGTAAATTACATATCTAATAATGTTTATGTAAAGATTTTAAAAAAAATGCCATTCAAAGAATTTAGAACAATATGTAAGTCTAGCTCATAATATTACATAATTCCTCATTATAATAATGGGGTCATGATCTGGGTCAGGAAAACAGCTATTAAAGAGGAAGTATAGTAACACAGATTACTGTGTTTGACTGAGGAGGACGATTATCTCATTACATATTGTTATTCATTGCATTCTTTTGTTCTCTGTTCATTCCTCAGGATTAGAATTGTGTTATTAGCAATATTCAAAATCAAGGCCAAAAGCAGTAATGGAGAATGGAAGACTTCTAAGTACATGTGATCAGGACCAAAGCCACTCATCAGGTATATTTAATCAGGTTGTTCTCTCTGTTTTTTCTTTAACTCTACTGTTAATTATGGAACATTTCAAATATATATAAAATCACAGAGAATATTACCATAAAATTTAAATGAGATTTCAATGTATTACTTATTTTTATAAATTGATCATTTAGTTTATTAGAATTTCACTATAATATCAAAATCTACTCAAAATTATTAAACACTCTCTATTGTTGAAATTCTGGAAGTGAAATTAACATTGTCATACAAGTCTGAAATTAGAATTTAAACCTTTCTACAAAGTTTAAAATAAAATATTAAAGTAACCATACTGAGGGTCTTTAGGAAAACTATCATCATGCTACAGCTGAATAGTTTGTTTATATGACTAGTCATCTAGAAAGACTAGTCAGACTTTCTGACTAGTCCCCAGGAAGTGGGATTCTAGTGGAAACGGCACAGGGCTAAGGAGTCTTTCTCTTTTTTATGCTTATATGTCTTATTTGACTCATTTTACAATTTAGGTTGATCTTTCTAGGCAAAACCAGAAAAAATATTTTAAATAAATATGTAAATAAATATTTAAAATAAAAATCTGAAGGAATTGGGATGCAGACAATATAAACAGTAGCAAAAAATAATGTTCAGAGAGATTTGGATATGTGTCCATATATTATACACAAACACACTTATGGGAATAACCTTAAACATTTAAAAGCAATGTGATTATTCATTGACTTCATGGGGTAAAGGATTTCTGAACCTGACACCAAAGATACAAAGTACAAAAGGAAACATTGGTACCATTGGCTTAAAATATTTTAAGTGAATATACATTCATAAAAGAAATATGAAAAATAAAATGGAGAAATAAATGTAACATGCAAGGAAGATCTAAATTAATACCATTAATGAATAAGGTGTAATGAAAAATTAATAATCAAATAAATGAAAAATATTACAGGAAAATAAGTATAAACATTGACAATTTCAATCTTGTGCAATTTAACACAAATTAAAATTAAATGTATTTTTTACTCACCAAATTAGATATTTTTTAAAAATTTATAATGTGATAATGAGATTCCAGTGTTATTGGAAACACAAGCTGTTTTTGTTTTTGTTTGTAGAACTGGGGTTTTCCCTCAAAACTTTGCACTCCAAAAGCAGGTACTCTAGCTCTTGCATCACAGCTCCAGCCCATTTTGCTCTGTTTATTTTGGATACCTGATCTCTTATTCTATGTCCAAGCTGGTCTCAAACTGTGAACCTCTCCATCTTAGTTTCCCAAGTAGCTATGATTATAGGCATGAGCCACAGGTGCCCAGCTGGAAATACAAACTCTAAAGTCTGCATATAAAACATTCATTAAAAATGGTCAATGAACTTTGATAAAGTAAATTCAAACTTAATATTTTATTATAGAAATAATATTTTTCAAAAACAATATGGGAAATTATTCTGCAATTATATTTATTATGATATAATATAAAGCTTTGATAACAGATAAACATGGAATTCAAAATATCCAATACATCTAAGTAAAACTGAAATGGCTCAGCAACTAAGAGAAAGGATTGACAAAGGTAGTACATGAAATTAAAAAACTTCTGCACAACAAAAGATTGAAGAGGCAGCCTACAGAATGGGAGAAAATCATTGCCAGCTGTACATCTGATAAGGGATTAATATCCAGAATATACAGGTAGCTCAAAAAAGTAAACTCCCAAAAAATCAATGACCCAACGAAAAAATGGGCAAATGAACTGAACAGAGGTTTTTCAAAGGAAGAAGCCCAAATGGCCCAAGATACATGAAGAAATGTTCAGCATCCCTAACCATAAAGGAAATGCAAATCAAAACCACGTTAAGATTCCACTCCTCTTAGAATGGCTATCATCAAGAGTGGCAAGGATGTGGGAAAAAAAGAATCCCACGGGCTATTGGTGGGAATGTAAATTAGTACAAGCACTATGGAAAACAGTATGGAGGCAGCTCAAGAAATTAAAGATAGAACTGCCATATGATCCACCAACTCCAATTCTAGGGATATATCCGAAGGAATGTAAGTCAGGATATAATAAAGACACTTGCACACCAATGTTTATTGTAGTGCTGTTCACAATAGCTGAGCTAGGGAAACAACCCCAATCACCTAAAACTGATGAATGGATTAAGAAAATATGATCTATATACACATAAATAATGGACTTTTATTAAGCCATAAGGAAGAATGAAACCATGTGCTTTGAAAGAAAATGGATGCAATTGGAGAACGTCACCTTAAGTGAAGTTAACCAGTTTCAGAAAGACAAAGAGCACATGTTTTCTCTCA